TTCCCCATCCACACATTTGAGGTAGATGGGGGGAATCCCTTCCACTGTGCTTTTGTGTTCTGCCGGCAGGGAGCCTTCCCCGACATTCGAATACAATGATCAGTGTTGTTGGCTATACAATGATCAGTGTTGTTGGCTATTATTAATTGTTGGGGAAAAACCCAACAAGCTGTTGTACACCAGTTGATTGACTTGCGTACAGCCAGCTAGCCCATACATGGTTCAAAATTTGCCTAGTCCCTGACTAATTTCAATCCTTGTATCACCAGCTTAAGGGGTGAGAAAGGTAAAGTGTGAGGACTGATAATGCTAAAGTCTGTCCTACTGTGATCAATGTATAAATATTATGTGACAGTCTCTGCATGTGGGGGCTTTAATGTAGGCAAGTCTGTACAATATTGAATAGGGGATTTATTTTCCAGCGTGCCAGAAGAAAGATAATCTAAAGCTTTATTTATTTGTTACTTTATTAATTTACTCATTCACTGTAAGGAATAGAGATTGCCATTTAAAAAAGACTGGATTATCAAAAATGTCCTTTTATTTGGGTATGGAGGAGCATGTGACTTGCTTTATGTGACAATGGTACTTGGTGATTGGCCCAGTGTTGTCACATGGGTGATGGTAACATGAACCCCTTGCTTTGCTCTGCACAGGTTCACTTTCAGCCAATTTGTTACAGTACTTGTAGGAACCCTGCTGTTTTTTCCAGGATTCCTCACAGGACCTCTTGCCGGGTCTTCCAGGATCCCTCTTGATAAGTCCAGGAATCCTATGAACACTAGCTCCAGGGTTACCAGTAAAGATGCCGAGCATGTCCTCTGACCAAAAGAGTATTTGAGCACCAGCCCTTGGAATGGCTAGTTCTGTGGCTTATCACCAGCTACCTTAGAGCTAAAAGTGCTAAAATACCTGCCAGTTGCCTGTTTGTTGCTGAACTTTTTTTTTTTTCCGTACTTACCAAACTAGTATGCCAAATCACTTCCAATAATGCATTTATAATGGACCTTCTACCTTTGTGGCAAAGCCCGCTTATTCTTATTGTACCCCCTCCCCAAAACACTTTCGGGGAAATGGATAATATACTTACCTTTCTCTGTCTTCCTCCTGCAGCGCCTACTTAAGTGTGACCTCATCCTGCTTCCAGTCAAGAAGATGACCCTGCACCGTGCTGTGCTCAACATTCCCCAAGTTCTTGTCGACAGGAGGAGGATGATGTCACCCCCTGCACTGTGGAAGTTAGGGAAAGGTGAGATCTCTAGCTCCCTCCAGAGGTACTTTTATGCAATGGGTAGGGGAGGGGGCAACTTGAATAAGTGGTCGTTGCCACTGAGGTAGAAGGTTCACTATATCAGACCAGGGAGCAAGTAAAGAAGTTCATAGTTGAGGATAACATACACTTTAACATGAACTCTCTGATAATCACTAATCCAAACCCTTTTCCACAGGTTGGGATTTGATGACTGCTCCAATGAAGCTGCTCTGTATGCCGGTTTCCAGACTGACCCTCTCACTGGTACAGGAGTAGCATCCACATGATCCAGATGGAACATGTCTGAGATACCTGGCAATATTCCAGGGCTGATGATCAGAGGACTGGGACATTGGCCGTCATGGGTTAATGTGAGTGTTACTGGGGGAGTTAAGAGCTCTTATGGAAAGTGGAGCTCTCTTTTTTGTTACATGGCTAGAGCAGGGGCGGACTGATCATTCGAGCACTCGGGCACTGCCAGAGGGCCCGGGGTCAGAAGGGGGCCCCATAAAATGCCCCTGGTACCTTTTATAGGCTTTTTTGGGTGTGTTTTGAGTGTGGGCAAGGACACAGGGGCCCCATGATCCCCAATTGCCTGAGGGCCCCATGAGTTGTCAGTCCGTCCCTGGGCTAGAGTTGCCATTTTTCCTTTGTTATATTGGAAATCAGACAACTAAACCAGCACTGACCAACACAGACACCCTTTTCTTCCAGTGTTCTAAATTGGACATCTTGAGAATTACATTTACAACTGTAATGAATGGGTTAATGCTAACGTGTTAGTGCTGTCTGCATCAAAGCTGATATAAAAGATACAAAATAATGCAACAAGGTGTGAATAAATCAATAATTGCATTTTATGATGCAATTTAATGTAGGTACTTGCATTTGATTTAGTATCAGCTTCTTGTAATCCTTTATACAAAAACTAGGGACCATCAGGGCTGGGACCCAGCGAGGTGTGCTGCATGAAAATGTGTTGGAAAGGAGCATGGTGACAGGTAAACTCCCAGGATGTTGCTAAGTGAGGCCAAGTTATTACTGTTCACCTTCACCATCACAGTGATGAGCTCTCAAACTGTGAGCTCAGAGATACTGCATCGGGGGGGGAGAGCGCAGGTGAAGGGGGTGTGAATCGGAGAAAGAGCTCACTTCTGTGAAAGTGAAGGTGAACAGTAATAGCTGAGCCATGCTTAGCAACATCCTGGACAGCTTCAGGTCAGGCTTCTTAAGGTATGTAAATGGCCTATCCCTATAGCAAGGGCATTATTCAGTTTTGGTCAAAGCTGCTTTTTCTTATCTGCAGACATCCCTTATCTGTATAGGCTTTTTTTTCATAAAGGTGAACTGTTCCTTTAAATATGAGCTGCATCTTCTTCTTCAAAATTTAGAAAATCTGTACACGTTTATGCTCGCACAACTCTTTAATTCCCTCCAATATTTACACAATTTTGAACCCTTTTTTTATGAAATCCAATTTAAAAAACATTTATAAATAGATCCCATAGTGTCAATACGGTAAAAATATTGATTATTTGAAATGATATTAGGTGATTTTGCGATATTTTTGAGGTTTTCCAAAAAAATGTGATGCCTGTCAGTTTTCCAGGTTTTGTTAGTAAAAAAAAAGTTATTTGGTAATTGTAGTGATTTATTGTTTTTTTTCATGATATGCTGCTGTGCTGTTTTTGAGGTTTTTATTTCTTTTGTTTGTTCTTTAGTTATGTTCATGGGGCCTTTCATTAGTGAAGGGTGCTCAAAGTGGAGTCTACACTTGTAATTGAACATTTGCTCTTGAAGCTGCTTTTTTGTTTGCAGCATATTACTGCATTATTGAAATAAAAAAAAAAAAAAAGAAGATGCAAGAACAGTGTACAAGTAAACTACCACCCAATAAATCACTTACTTTTCACTGCGCTTCAAAACCCCCATAGAAAAAATAAAAGTCAGGCATACATTAGTTCTTTATCCCCCTGAATAAAATGGTTTTGCTGCTGGCCAATTTACACTGTTGTAACCTGTGCAGTATCTTAACCCCTTGACGCCGACGTCACACAAATATGCGACCTCACGGAACTGCGCTTTTTTCTGTGGGGCTGCATATTTGCGTACCTGTCTTTGTGCTGGGAGCGCGCCACACTGCGTACTCCCAGCACAAAGACCGCGGTGTCACTGAGAGCACCGGGTCCCGTTCTAACGATCGGGACCTGGGAATCCCGATTTCGGGTCAGATCTTGTGACCCGAAATCGGGATTCCCAGGTCCCGATCGTTAGAACGGGACCCGGTGCTCTCAGTGACACCGCGGTCTTTGTGCTGGAGGAGTACGCAGTGTGGCGCGCTCCCAGCACAAAGACAGGTACGCAAATATGCAGCCCCACAGAAAAAAGCGCAGTTCCGTGAGGTCGCATATTTGTGTGACGTCGGCGTCAAGGGGTTAAGATACTGCACAGGTTACAACAGTGTAAATTGGCCAGCAGCAAAACCATTTTATTCAGGGGGATAAAGAACTAATGTATGCCTGACTTTTATTTTTTCTATGGGGGTTTTGAAGCGCAGTGAAAAGTAAGTGATTTATTGGGTGGTAGTTTACTTGTACACTGTTCTTGCACTTCTTCTTTTTTTTTTTTTTATTTCAATAATGCAGTAATATGCTGCAAACAAAAAAGCAGCTTCAAGAGCAAATGTTCAATTACAAGTGTAGACTCCACTTTGAGCACCCTTCACTAATGAAAGGCCCCATGAACATAACTAAAGAACAAACAAAAGAAATAAAAACCTCAAAAACAGCACAGCATATCATGAAAAAACAATAAATCACTACAATTACCAAATAACTTTTTTTACTAACAAAACCTGGAAAACTGACAGGCATCACATTTTTTTGGAAAACCTCAAATATCGCAAAATCACCTAATATCATTTCAAATAATCAATATTTTTACCGTATTGACACTATGGGATCTATTTATAAATGTTTTTTAAATTGGATTTCATAAAAAAAGGGTTAAAAAATTGTGTAAATATTGGAGGGAATTAAAAGAGTTGTGCGAGCATAAACGTGTACAGATTTTCTAAATTTTGAAGAAGAAGATGCAGCTCATATTTAAAGGAACAAGTTCACCTTTATGAAAAAAAAAGCCTATACAGATAAGGGATGTCTGCAGATAAGAAAAAGCAGCTTTGACCAAAACTGAATAATGCCCTTGCTATAGGGATAGGCCATTTACATACCTTAAGAAGCCTGACCTGAAGCTGTCCAGGATGTTGCTAAGCATGGCTCAGCTATTACTGTTCACCTTCACTTTCACAGAAGTGAGCTCTTTCTCCGATTCACACCCCCTTCACCTGCGCTCTCCCCCCCGATGCAGTATCTCTGAGCTCACAGTTTGAGAGCTCATCACTGTGATGGTGAAGGTGAACAGTAATAACTTGGCCTCACTTAGCAACATCCTGGGAGTTTACCTGTCACCATGCTCCTTTCCAACACATTTTCATGCAGCACACCTCGCTGGGTCCCAGCCCTGATGGTCCCTAGTTTTTGTATAAAGGATTACAAGAAGCTGATACTAAATCAAATGCAAGTACCTACATTAAATTGCATCATAAAATGCAATTATTGATTTATTCACACCTTGTTGCATTATTTTGTATCTTTTATATCAGCTTTGATGCAGACAGCACTAACACGTTAGCATTAACCCATTCATTACAGTTGTAAATGTAATTCTCAAGATGTCCAATTTAGAACACTGGAAGAAAAGGGTGTCTGTGTTGGTCAGTGCTGGTTTAGTTGTCTGATTTCCAATATAACAAAGGAAAAATGGCAACTCTAGCCCAGGGACGGACTGACAACTCATGGGGCCCTCAGGCAATTGGGGATCATGGGGCCCCTGTGTCCTTGCCCACACTCAAAACACACCCAAAAAAGCCTATAAAAGGTACCAGGGGCATTTTATGGGGCCCCCTTCTGACCCCGGGCCCTCTGGCAGTGCCCGAGTGCTCGAATGATCAGTCCGCCCCTGCTCTAGCCATGTAACAAAAACAGAGCTCCACTTTCCACAGTAAGAGCTCTTAACTCCCCCAGTAACACTCACATTAACCCATGACGGCCAATGTCCCAGTCCTCTGATCATCAGCCCTGGAATATTGCCAGGTATCTCAGACATGTTCCATCTGGATCATGTGGATGCTACTCCTGTACCAGTGAGAGGGTCAGTCTGGAAACCGGCATACAGAGCAGCTTCATTGGAGCAGTCATCAAATCCCAACCTGTGGAAAAGGGTTTGGATTAGTGATTATCAGAGAGTTCATGTTAAAGTGTATGTTATCCTCAACTATGAACTTCTTTACTTGCTCCCTGGTCTGATATAGTGAACCTTCTACCTCAGTGGCAACGACCACTTATTCAAGTTGCCCCCTCCCCTACCCATTGCATAAAAGTACCTCTGGAGGGAGCTAGAGATCTCACCTTTCCCTAACTTCCACAGTGCAGGGGTGACATCCTCCTCCTGTCGACAAGAACTTGGGGAATGTTGAGCACAGCACGGTGCAGGGTCATCTTCTTGACTGGAAGCAGGATGAGGTCACACTTAAGTAGGCGCTGCAGGAGGAAGACAGAGAAAGGTAAGTATATTATCCATTTCCCCGAAAGTGTTTTGGGGAGGGGGTACAATAAGAATAAGCGGGCTTTGCCACAAAGGTAGAAGGTCCATTATAAATGCATTATTGGAAGTGATTTGGCATACTAGTTTGGTAAGTACGAAAAAAAAAAAGTTCAGCAACAAACAGGCTGGCAGGTATTTTAGCACTTTTAGCTCTAAGGTAGCTGGTGATAAGCCACAGAACTAGCCATTCCAAGGGCTGGTGCTCAAATACTCTTTTGGTCAGAGGACATGCTCGGCATCTTTACTGGTAACCCTGGAGCTAGTGTTCATAGGATTCCTGGACTTATCAAGAGGGATCCTGGAAGACCCGGCAAGAGGTCCTGTGAGGAATCCTGGAAAAAACAGCAGGGTTCCTACAAGTACTGTAACAAATTGGCTGAAAGTGAACCTGTGCAGAGCAAAGCAAGGGGTTCATGTTACCATCACCCATGTGACAACACTGGGCCAATCACCAAGTACCATTGTCACATAAAGCAAGTCACATGCTCCTCCATACCCAAATAAAAGGACATTTTTGATAATCCAGTCTTTTTTAAATGGCAATCTCTATTCCTTACAGTGAATGAGTAAATTAATAAAGTAACAAATAAATAAAGCTTTAGATTATCTTTCTTCTGGCACGCTGGAAAATAAATCCCCTATTCAATATTGTACAGACTTGCCTACATTAAAGCCCCCACATGCAGAGACTGTCACATAATATTTATACATTGATCACAGTAGGACAGACTTTAGCATTATCAGTCCTCACACTTTACCTTTCTCACCCCTTAAGCTGGTGATACAAGGATTGAAATTAGTCAGGGACTAGGCAAATTTTGAACCATGTATGGGCTAGTGGCTGTACGCAAGTCAATCAACTGGTGTACAACCAGCTTGTTGGGTTTTTTCCCCAACAATTAATAATAGCCAACAACACTGATCATTGTATAGCCAACAACACTGATCATTGTATTCGAATGTCGGGGAAGGCTCCCTGCCGGCAGAACACAAAAGCACAGTGGAAGGGATTCCCCCCATCTACCTCAAATGTGTGGATGGGGAAATTGGCACTTTTTTATTTTGTTCAACCCCCTGGCTGAACAAAAAATGTATATTGTGTGGCCAGCCTTACCTACAGTATGTCTTTGGCTCATCACTGGCTTTCTTACACTTGTCAGGGTGCATTTGTGACTCCTGCCATACCTTGAAATAGGAAAGAAAAATATTTTTGGTAATTAATGTTCTTTTTCAACAGCTGAATTGTTTCCTGATTTCTATCCTCCTGTGACAGAGCAGTTATCTGAAAGCTTTTTGGTAATTAATGTTCTTTTTCAACAGCTGAATTGTTTCCTGATTTCTAACCTCCTGACAGGGCAGTTATCTGAAAGCTAAAAGGAAATTGGATTCTTCTGGTAAAACATATAGATAAATATGGTGCCTGTACATGTTTGGGACAAAATGGAAGGTGGCGGTTTATTTACAGTACAAGTTTAGGCTATACCATACAACACCTTTAAATGCTGCTTCCCCATTGCCTCCCATTGGTCTTCATACATTTGAGCATAAATCACATTTTAAATACCTATTTTCCTTTTTTTCCCATGAAGTCATGTGACAAAATCTGGCTTACCTGTGTAATGTGCAGGGATGAGAATGGGGCTTAATTCCATAGACCATATATTAAAATACACAGCACAAAATCCCCGTGTAATATCCCAGAAAAGTGATCCACCTCCACCCTTGAAGGCTAAACAAATAAAAATTATAAACTTTTCTCTTTATCTAACAATCAAACATCACAATCAAAAATTGAACAACAAATGTCCAAAACAAATAAACCCACACAGGTGTAAACAATTGTCCAAAAATCGTCTTTTTTCTTTCTTTTCTTTTCCAACAAGTCTTTTTCTCAATACACGCAAATCCTGATGGCAATATACCTCAAAAAACAAAAACTTAACATAGTGTCATACCTCAAATAATAAATACACACGTGCCACTCAATGTGCAACATGCAAAAAAAAAAAAAAAAAAAAAAAAAAATATATATATATATATATATATATATATATATATATATATATATATATGTGTTCACTCCGTGTACTAATCTCTACACACAAACAAATATTCCTTTGTGTACCAAAATATATAAGTAAAAAACCCTCACAACGTGTCTATTGCACAAACTGTGAAAAAACAACATATAATAATGCAGGAGTGTATCACCACACTCTATATTCCTCAGTGAACACCTTTAAACCCAAACCAACACTCTCCAACTCGTGTACTGATGGATAATTACCCTATAAGAAAAATGACAGGGCATAACACAAATCCGGGTTGACTTCTTGTTATTAGGGTCACATCCAGTCTCAGGGTTTATCTTCCATTTTCCTCATAACAAAATCAGCCATTACAACAGTGAATCCAAAGATAACATCCTTTATTGTAGCAACTTACATATAAATTTGGATGAAGCAGCTCCTCCTCACAGGAATACAAGTGTAGGCAAGTTAGGGAACACTGGCCACATGTTCCCACTTCCAAGATGGCCGCGATCGCACTTCCGGTTAACGTCGATGCGTCTGACGTCACGTGTCCTGACGCGTTTTGTCACTTCCTATGACTTTTTCAGAAGGGTAAGGACGTCTGTGCATCGACTCCTTATATACCGCCCTTCCTCCACTGAAGGCACTGCAAAACCGCCATCTTGGAAGCTGGAAAACGCCGCCCATACCTGTCCACATTGCACCTTACTTCATCTCATAGCCGTTTATCGATCTCATCCAAATCCTGTACCTCTGTATTATCATCCACAATACAAAGCATACTATACAATGTCCCATATATAAAATAAAAATAAAAAAAAAAAATTTAAAATATCAGCATACAAATAACTCCATCTTAACATACTATACCGATATACATATATATATACTCCTTACTCATATATTCTCCCTACCTTCCAGTCTAGAACATTCCTATAAATATCATTAAAATTCAGTGTATATATCTCCCTATGTGTATATACATATCCATATATAACATCCCCCTAACGGATACACAATACTCCCTCTACTGGTCAATAAATAGAACAACCCCTATACTGATTAAAATACCTTACATCTCTCATATTTTCTATCAAATCCCAATGTGATTATACTACCAATATTTGAATACATCATCAAAATGTATATACCTCTACCATCTTTACCCATACATCCAGACACATATCTTAACACTTAATAAATTTTTTAAATCTATAATAATACTCTAAAATAAATATAAAATCATTCATTATATTACCATCATAAAAAAAAATTATAAAATTATAATCTTATATTATATTACCTTCATATATCCACATGTTATTCGTGAATCCATACAAACTCCTCTCAGTACTTAAAGAATTTTTTATATAATAATTTCCTATATAAGATAAATATAATACCAAATGAATCTAAAATATTAAATCTAAATATTATTAAAATATATATTAAAATTAAAAATCCGAAATAAAACAGTTCAAATCCAATTCGATATTTAAACCATTAGGCTTCAAAGTGTTTAATTTAAAAATCCAATAGGTCTCATTTTGTGAAATGCCTTTTACCCTATTACTTCCCCTCCAATGGGAGTCCACCGTATCTATACCACAAAACTTTATTCCCCTAGGGTCAGAGTTATGAAATTCCTTAAAATGTCGTGATACATTATGGTCCTTTTTTCCTTTTATTATATTAACCACATGTTCTTTTAATCTGGTACCTAAATTCCTTTTAGTTCTTCCTACATATTGTAATGGACAAGGACATTCTAACACATACGTTACATACTTTGTGTTACATGTAATACATTTTTTTTATATTGAATTCTTCTCCTGTGTGAACCGATTTGCAACTCAAGATTTTTCTCTGCTTAATACCTGTCACTCTACACATTTTGCATTTTTTACAAGGATAAAACCCCTGTAGATCAAACATCCTTGTATTTTTTTTAGGGGGTGAAATAACCCCCTTAACTAGTAGGGTTCTAAGATTAGCACTTTTTTTCTATAAACAAACTGGGGTTGCGTCGGTAACACATTACTCAGTGTTTGATCTTTTTACAGAATAGGCCAATATCTTTTAAAAATACCCTCTACTTCTTTATACTGACAGTTGAATTTTGAAATAAAGGCAAATTCAGCTCTATTTTTATCCTCTTTCATCTTACTTTTAGCCTTTAAGATGAAAGAGGATAAAAATAGAGCTGAATTTGCCTTTATTTCAAAAATCAACTGTCAGTATAAAGAAGTAGAGGGTATTTTTAAAAGATATTGGCCTATTCTGAAAAAAGATCAAACAGAGTAATGTGTTACCGACGCAACCCCAGTTTGTTTGTTTATAGAAAAAGTGCTAATCTTAGAACCCTACTAGTTAAGGGGGTTATTTCACCCCCTAAAAAAAATACAAGGATGTTTGATCTACAGGGGTTTTATCCTTGTAAAAAATGCAAAATGTGTATATTTTCTAACATTGTTTGATCTGAATTTAGGCCACAGAGCTCTATAAATCCCCTGAAGAAGCTGAACCTGATTCTGCGAAACACCTAGAGTTTGGGAATGATCCCACCCCCAACTGAACTCACATATGATGTTTTTTGATATTTGATATACAGTATGTTTGTACAATTCATGAGGCTGTGAGTGCAACATACCCTTCAGATAGGTTCAAGACAATTTAATTTATGGTATAAAGGAATGCGCTTTATAATTTTAAACGGTTTATTTTTAACATTGATGTAGCAATAAAGTGATGTAGTATTTTAATGTTGTTTGGGTGTCTTAAAAGTCCGCCAGAGTTCTGTTTTTTTTTTTTGTTAGGTTTGTTTCTCTGTGCAGTAGTCTTACCACCAACAAAAGTCTTCCCCAGTAAAATCCCTCACCGAAAAAAAAAAAAAAATATCCCTCCTTCCCAAAGAACATTCTCTCCTGAAGCAAAAAATCCTCACTTCTCTATCACACAGAAATCATCCACAACCCCCATAGCTGCAGTCCACCACTCTTCTCTGCATCCCTTGTCCACTGCTCACCTGTGAACCCCTGTCTTACCTTTGCACTCCCTCATCACCTATAAACCCCTTGTTCACCACAGCACACCCTGACTAACCTATTGTACCCCTTCATTCTACTACTAAGCTCTGTACCCCTTCATTCACCTCTTATCCCTGAACCCCCTTGTCCACTTCTGCTCACCCTTCCACAACTGCAGCCCCAACCACTTCCACATCTGCACTATCTTCCACCATTGCAATCATTTCCACTTCTGAACCCCGTTCTACTATTGCAACCACCTCTGCACCCACTCTTAGCATTGCAACAATTTCCACCTCTACACCCTCTTTCATCATTGCATTACCTAGTTCTAACCCCTTCTAGCATCTGCATTCCCTGCTCCATCCTCCTTGTACTACTGCAATCCCTTTCCACAACTGTAGCCCTTTTCCCTTCCATCTCTTCACCCCCTTCCATCAGTCAACCTTTGCAACCCTTTCCACCCCGCAACCCTGCCACCATTGCACACTCTTTCACCAATGTAACCCGTTCAACTATTGCAATCACTTCCAACTTTGCACCCTTTTCCACCTTTTCTGCCCCTTTTAACATTTCATTCTGTTCCACCCCTGCACCCTTTTCCACCATTGCAACAACGTCCACTTCTGTACCCCTTTCTGCCACTGCAACCACTTCCACCTCTGCATTCTCTTCCATCATTGCACGCTCATCTACTATTGCAGCTACTTCAACATCTGCATTGCAACCCTTCACATTTCTGCACTCCCTCCCACCTCTGCACCCCCTTTTATCTGTGCAACCCCTGCCACCAATGTGCACAGCTCACCTGAGGAGTCAGTTCAGGAATCCCTTTTCTGCTGGCAAGTACATAGCGCTGTTGACAGCACTTAGGGTGGTGCCAAATGATGTTGTGAGCATTTTCCGCTGCCCACAGGTGCAGGATGAGAGAGAACAAGCACCTCATGCAGAATTCTGTTGCAGCAATGAAGAGAAGGGATCAGAAGAGGAGGAAACAAGAGCTGTCAGTCACACCCTGCATGGAGTACTTATATTGGGAGGAGGAGAAAGCAGAAAGAGAGGAGCGGACAAGCACTGGAAGGAACCCAAGTCACATGGGTCATCCTTTTCAAATTCTGAAAATTAAATGCACTCAGAGGCTTGTCTCAGAGGCTAGGTGAGAACATTTCTCCCTAGACCAGCCTTTATCAACCTTTTAACCTCGAAGGAACCTGTGAAATAACTTTCAGGTCTTTGGAAACCTCTACCTGAAAACCTATGGCACATGGTACTTTAACATGATCCATAAGTTGTAAAAAGTTTTTTTAATTAAAGATTAACAAATGTGGCCTACTTAGCATATTTGACACCTGGGACAGATACTCCTATTATTTTTTACCACCTTCCTGCTCTATACAACAAAATCATTTTCAGTAATAATCTTGAAATGAAAAAAAATGTGGTATTCCTATATATTAGTGATCACAGCATAGAAAAGGCTCCCTACATTGGTGGTTACATTGCCGCTTGCATTGGTGGTCAGTGTAGGATGGAGATCAATTCCCCATTGTTACCCGCTCAAGGAACCTCTAGTAATCTTAGGAAGAACTCTACTGTAGTTTTGAGAAAGTGTGCTCTAGATTGTGCTAACTGAAATGCAGCCGCATAGTCTGGTGTCCAGTGGGAACACACTTTGTAGCGAATTGTCCCCATTGTGAAGGCACACACACAGAGGCGGACTGACAACTCCTGGGGCCCCCGGGCAATAGGGGATCATGGGGCCCCTGTGTCCTTGCCCAAACCCAAAAAAGCCTATGAAAAAGGTACCAGGGGCATCTCATGGGGCCCCCTACTGACCCCGGGCCCTCGGGCAGTGCCCGAGTTTCCAAATGGTCAGTCCGCCCCTGCACACACAGTAAACATTTGACCTTCCTTGGACATGGCATTGTTAAAACAATGGTAGACATGTACTTTGATTTTCAAAATGTTTATGAAAATATGATTTGGGCCTACTTACTCTTGCCTGTAGCATGACAGTTAACAACACTACCTCTGGACTGCAACAAGAAATGTGTCCCAGTTCTCAAGAAAGAGCCACAAACTTGAAATTTCCCTGTATTTTATCATAAGCCTGTTCCTACTTTTTGTTTAGTGTGCATTACTTAACAAAATACTTACCTCACAATGTATTATTAACATGCCATAATTGAAATTTGGATTATATTTGCAAAATCAAAGGACTGAATGCAGTAATTGCTCATCACCTAATCAAACAGCAGATGCTGGGCTAGATATCTCAAGTAGGATGGCTCAATCAACGGGATAATGCTATAAAATAATGATTATAATGTGGATCCAACAGAAAACAATTAATTATATGGCTTTATTTACTTCTGGATTTGTCTAAAGAGGATCTGCCAAAGTGATGAAAAAGCATATCCAGGCCACAAGCTGAATTATTAGTTAATTATACATGTCCTAAGGAAGATGTAGCAAATCCATCAAATTGTATTTATTGGCTGCACCCTGTAGCCACCAGACTCCATGCCATCCCTTCTCTCTAATTTCGATCATGCACATAACAGGAAATAAATTATTGATGATCATGTATGTATTTGATTACTTCAAATGATCATTTGCTCAAAAACAAAAAAATCAGAGTTTGGCTATTTCTGCCAGGACCGATTGATTTGGTCAAATTCATCGAAAAGTATTTTTACCGATTAAATATCTTAATTTGTACATTCAATATGCTAGAAACATCAAAAATGATCGTTATATGTTATATTGTTGCATGTTGCATGACTAGCACATGAGTAGCAAGGAGCAAACAGTTGGGAGGAACTGACAATATGTGGCCTCCACATTTACAGCCTAGGCAGTAAAGTGACCTGCTGCAAAACAGGTACACACGGATGAGGAAAAGATGCCACTGACAGATAGGTGCTACACAGAATATACAGCTTAAAGAAGATCTATTACTATACATATTTAGTTTAGCTGCTTAGTCTAAGTGCAATATAGTATTTGTCCTGTTCAAATCCGTCTCTTCATTTCTAAGCAGCATGGTTGGACATTCCCCCATCCCATCAGATAATGTTGTTAGAAAGGATTTGTGATTGACAGCTCTGGTATCTGGCAGCAGGAGCTGCTCTGGAGACCATGAAAAACAGCACACAGCCTGTGATGATGTGTAATGTATCTGGTGATGCTTATGCAAACACAGAGCAGATACTTTACACAGATACACAACTCTAAATGGTCCTTCACTATTATGAATGAACAAGCAGAGCTGATTGAGCTTTGTCCTCAGTTCTATTAAGTCTGAATTCTTCTTCACTAATGTTTGGGAAAGAGATCAGCCTTCTACCTCTTGCCTAACACTTGTATGGAGTGTCCCATGTTCTTTACCTTGTTTGGAAAGGGGGACTCCATGGGATCATACCAAGGGGGACTTCATGGGATCATACCAAGGGGTACTCCATGGGATCTCACCAAGGGGGACTCCATGGGATCTCACCAAGGGGGACTCCATGGGATCTCAGGAATTACCAATACACTTCCTGAAGTAAATTCTGCACTAAGTTCTAAGTTCACTTTGCAGGGGTCTTCCTTGGTCATCTCCTCAGTGGGCTTAATGTCTGCCCTGACAGCCATTCCATGCAGGGAATCCTGTACCTATTTTAGGTTCATGTGCAATGAGACCCTAGGACCTACTTCTATTTTAGTGTGTGGCTCTGACTGATCTTCCCTTAACCAGGACATTGCTTTCCCTCTGTCCAGCCCCAAGTCTCTAAAGCAGGCCACAGACAATGCAAAAACTGAACGAAAATTTTGAATTGTTTGTTTTTCACAGCATTAGCGTGCCAGAAAATGCCTGATTCAACATGATGGATTTTTATTAGAAAAACTAAACAAGTGATGGCATAATCCTATGAGCTATTTATGTTTTTCACTCCACAAAGCTTTCGGGTTTTGATTGTGTATGGTCTGCTTGAGTGGAGCTCCTTCTTCTTGCTGGCCAAGGTTTAGGCTGTAAGTCTCTTCCTTTCTGTATTGATTCTTAGATGCCCTTCCTGATGATGTTCCCTGTAGGGAATTCATTTTATTTTCATCCTTGCAGATGGATCTGTTAGGCCAACTTCAAGCTTATACTGTTTTGAAGCAATGTCCTTTTTTTCCATGTGAGGACATTTTTCACTATGTATTCTGCTCTTTTGACATCCAGCTTCGGTTCCCTATATTTGATTTACCACCTAGTCTTTGTTAACATTCTGTTACCAAATGGGTGTTGTGGCGTCATCTGGTGCCAACTTCAATTGTATGGTCCTTCAGATAAATGGTTTTCTCGAGCAATAGACAGTCTCCAGTATTATATTATTCATGTTGGGACCTGTTAGCAGTTGTTTGCTGTTGCCCACCTCTCAGTTGGACTGCTCTTGGGCATCCCAAAAGGTTATTTTCTTTCTTGTCCATGGAAGGTCTTCCATGGACAAGAAAGAAAATAAGATTTTTGTGCTTACATTAAAAGCTATTCTTTGAGATCACTGGGGAACACAGGTCTCACTCCCCATGTTTATGATCATGCTCCTGTTACTGCTTGCGACAAAACTGAAGCATGCCAGTAGTAGGAATTGTTATCTTGGGTTGACACAATTTTTTGGTTTGCCAGTGTCTAATCCTCCTGTAGGCAGCAGTATAAACTGAAGGTGAAATCTTCCCGTGTCCTCAATGGACTCCAAAAAATAGATTTTATAATGAGTACAAACATCTTATTATTTAAAAATCGCACAGCAGAGAAATTAGAAGAAATCAACATTATAAACCCAACCAACATCTGATCTGCAGTACTGGGAAGATACACAGAAGCCAATAAAACACGTCATGTGGTCATTCAACAGGTGCTTAAAATGGGCCTTATGTTCTGTCTATCAAGAATTAAAAGTGCATTTAAACCACTTGACCCCCAGAGGTTTTTACCCCCTTCATGACCAGACCATTGTTTTGCTATTCATCACTGTGCTACTTTAACTGGACATTGCTCTGCCATTCAACACTTGTACCCAAATTAAATGTATATACTTTTTCCACACATATAGAGCTTTCTTTTGCTAGTTTTTGATAACCACTGGGTTTTTTATATTTTATTATATAACTGAAAAAGATCAAAAATTTTGAAAAAAAAAAAACCCTAACTATTTTCTACTTTCTGTTATAAAACATATCCAATAAAAAAAATTAAAACATCTTTTGTGGATGGAGTAAGCCATTCATTTTTTTTTTTCAATCAGTCTGCTGGCTGATTGAAAAAAAATGGGTCATCTATGGCCACCTTAAGAATGAGCAATGCAGTGTGAAAAGGGCCTCAGAATGTTCAGTTAATTCTACTGTAGAAAAGATTTCTCTGTACTTAGGTGCTTTTATAGTCTGTGCCCAGGAGAGATTTGATGGCGCCAATGTAATAACTATTGTGAGACCTACATCATTCTTCTGGTTAAAAGAAGCAGAATACATTAGACCAGAGGGAAAAATATCTGAAAGCAAATGAGGAAACTCATACAGTACATTAAAATGAAGATTCGGTGCTTACAACTAATTCCTCAAATTTATTTACTTAATATACAAAAACAGAACTCTAATATGGTTTAAACTTCAAGAGAAACTAGGACGTTCGTAGCAGTTAGACTTAGTGGTTTTATTTTCAAATACTTTCCTGTATCCATGCATATTAAATAGGGGTATTGTACTATCATCTTTATTTTCTTTGTTTTTTTTCTAAGCCTTACTCTACCTGTTTCTTTCTCTTTCAAACCACAAAATGCAAATGGTATATTTAAAAGTAATTGTCAAATTTATCTTCAGAAAATGCTGAATATATTTGAATTACCTAAAGAGAAATTAAAGTGTTACTAAATTCACAACAGTAAAATCAGTCTGTATATGCAGTAATATGCAGTAAAACATGCTGTTATACTCACTGTGAAACCTAAAGGGTTAATCCTGCGCATTGTGTAAAATGACTGTTTATCCTGTCTTCTCTGATCCTCCCTTCTTCTACTGTCCCCAATCTATCTACTAATAGTACAGAGCTCTAGGAGTCACTCTGCACATGCTCAGTTTAGTGTGTATTGCTAGAGAGTTTTTTCTCTTCTTTGGTAAGGTGCATGTGATCAGCATAGGGCCAATCAGCGCTGTCCAGACAGAAGGTCAGGGGTTATGCAGCCTCATAGGACAGTCAGAGGAGAATGAAAATTCCTCCTACAAGCTTTAACCAGTGCTCAGCTGGACACAGATAGAAGTCACAAGACTGTTATATATACTGCTGATGAAAAAAGGTATTTATTAATTTATATTTAGTAAAATCATCGCATTTCCATGTTGTGTGTACTGTGGGAGACCAGATATAGTGAATGCGGGGTCCCAAATTTTGAGATGTCCCCAGAAAAGTAATGGGGAAATTTTCCAATGGTGACACTAGTTCTGGTGACCTGGGAGTCCCCAAGGAATTCCCTTAATCTTCAGGGATTTCCTCTCACTTCCTGTTTGGCTATGGGACAGGAAGTGAATGGAAATCTCTGCAATGGGAAACAGACTGCAAAAAGACATCTGACAGGGGTTATAACCCTCCCTTACTCTATCCAAAAATGGAAAAAAAGTTTTACCTATAGTTCTGCTTGATGTCATGTGATCAGTCTGCTGCAGGCAAGAGGAAGCTTTTCCCCAGTCTCCTCTCCCCTAGTGATCAAAATGCAACATTGTAACTTTGTAGGTGAGAGGCTGCAGGTCACCAGGATTTATATGATTGTGTCATTTTTTGAGAAAGCATCTCAACCCAGGAAGTATATGGTAACCCTGGATGATGACTAAACAAAGATGTCCCCTGTGTTAACCACTTGCCTACCAGGCAAATTCTGACATTTCACTCCTACATGTAAAAACCATAATTTTTTTTGTTAGAAAATTGCT